CAGGGGGCTTCTTCCTGCTTTCCCTTTCACCTCCCTGCATTGTGCCTACATATGCAAATTAACCTCCATCTTTGTTGTCAGTTAACTGCCATCTGAGTTGGCAGTTAATTTGCATATCGCCCTGATTAGCCAATGAAAAGGGTAGCGTCGTATGCCAATTACCATTTTTCTCTTTTATTAGTGTAGATACCTCCTTTAAATATGTGTTGATTTGAGGTGTTAACTTGACAGGAATACAACGAATATTTGACCTTAATATACATAATATAAAGGACATCTTTTTGGCACACTGTGGTAGAAAAGTAGTCAAAGGTTTATTTTCAAAGGTAATTGTGATTTATATGGAGCAATCTTTAGTCTGAGCAAGCAAGATAGTGTGTTTGGCTTTGTGGATTAACATGAGAAGTCTATTCTTCTGGAGAGAAAAATTTGCTATATAACTGTAATTAGGGGGAAATCAGAGATTAATGATGCATCATATTCTAGAGATTTAACTGATAAGCATCAATACATGGTTTTCTCAACTTTAAATGGTTTGCAAAATATTATTTGTACTAGAGGCCTGGTGCATGAATTCATGCACAGGTGGGGTCTCTTGGCCTGGCTGGTGATTGGGGCCAATTGGGAGGCTGGCCGGCATCTAGAGGGAGAGACTGTGAGAGGTTGGCCCGCTGAGGGGAGAGACCACGAGTGGTTGGCCAGATAGGGGGAGGGACCGCGGGAGGTTGGTTGTTGGAGTGCACTGACCTCCAGGGGGCAGCTCCTGTGTTGAGTGCCCCTTGGTGGTCAGTGTGCCTCATAGCAACTCGTCTACCAGTCATTCAGTTGCTTAGGTATATATATAGTTTGTTCCATGTACAGAAAATAACAGTAACTGGGTCCCTATGCAGAAAATTTAGTATTTATTTTAAAAGATAAATTGTTGAGTTTTTGGGATTATTTCATACACTCCAAAAGAGTATCTAATCTACCTCTACTAATTACTTTCTCTATGAAAGCCTTCCAGACCATTACGGTGGGGTACCTCTGGTCAATGCTTTAAGTGCTTTTTATTAAAGGTACTAGAGACATAGTGCCCAAAATTCATGCACTGGGGGGCCCCTCAGCCTGGCCTGCGCCCTCTCACAGTCCAGGGCTCTCGCAGTCCAGAACTCTTGCAGTCTGGGACCCCTTGCTCCTTACCACTTGCCTGCAGTGGAGGCGGAGAGGCTCCTGCCACTGCCACTGCGGTTGTCAGCCATGAGCCTGGCTTCTGGCTGAGCGGCGCTCCCCCTGTGGAAGCACACTGACCACCAGCGGGCAGCTCCTGTGTTGAGTGTCTGCCCCCCTGGTGGTCAGTGTGTGTCATAGTGACCGGTCATTCTTCCAGTCATTCCACTGTTCGGTCAAATTGCATATTAGGGTTTTATTATATAGGATAGTGTTGCTACCAGATAAATTGCCTCATATAAAAGTACTTACCACAAACCCCTATAATGGAAGGTTAAGTGTTATACTTAATTACTAATTTTAGCCCTTATTATCTATATTTTTGCTGCACAGGCACTTTAAAAGGAACCAAGTATAGTCTGTTGGTTCCTTCTTCTCTCCTTATAGAATTTGGTGGTAAAGGCTATGGTCCAACTATTTTTCTAATTAAAAATAACACAAATTTTTAAAAATAAAAATAGCCATCCACAAACCAACATAAAAAGATACACTAGACATTTCTATTAAACTTATACATAAAATCACTCTGTTCTAACAACTTTAATCTAGATGACACTTAAATTTGTACTCAGCCTTCATGGAGTTGTGGCAGATGAAGCTCCAAGAAAAAAGGGTATTTGACATTTTCACGGCTTATTTCCTACCTCAGCCTCATGCTGAAATGCACACAGAGCAGATGATTAATAAAATACTGATGGCAATGATGGTGACTCCTGTGAGCTCTTCACATATTGATCATTAACTTTGTATATGCATATATTTAAATTCCCCACAGGTGCACTAATTTTCTTGAGGGCAAACTGCATTTTACCCTTGCTTGCATCCTTCAGAGTAACTGCAGCTTTGCTTACTCTGTATTTGTTAATATTATCTAAAATACTTTGTTGGTAAAGGACTAAATATAAAAGATTGCATACAAAATATCTATTTCTAAAGATTTGCTCATTACCATGACATTGCCAGATTCTGATTTTTAAATACATATATATTTTTATACTGAACATTCATTTAATTGGTAAAATAAGACATTTTATGTGTTAAACAGCTATTAGTCCAGAAAAAAAATGCAAATATTTGCTGACTTAATCAATGCTGCCAATCTTAATGACCACTATTCAAATTGAATATTAACATGCCACAAAAACACAGGGAGCATAACTTTTTTGAACTATAGCTAGTACACCATATCTGGTCTATTTAGCTACATGAGCTATAATAAAATAGTGACGTATGAAAAATTTTAAAAACAAAAATATTATCCATGTGAACTAATAATGCATTAATAAAATGGGTTCTGATGATCTGTGCTTGGGAAATGCAAACCATACTTCCCTTTTAGAGGTGAATTATGAATATTAATATAATAAAGCCCAGGGTAGCCACTTTCAATTTAGTTTAATTCAGACTTAGTTGAGAGTGGGAATTCCTCTCCCCCCCAACATAGGTCATCATTAACATTCACCAGAACAGCGTTCTTAAAGATACCAATTTGCAAAGTGTGGAAAGAATGAAAAAGTTTCTAAATGAAGGTACGTTTAAATCATTAACTGGTGAAACAAAGCTAGGCTTCAAGAGGCATCTGCCACTCTGTAATAATAATAATAAATGGATCATTTTACATGTTCATGTTCACATTAACAGATAACATATTCCAGGGTCAGGATCTAGATCTCATCCTGCTTTCTATCTTTTATGGAGTCCAGGGCCATGACTTCCTCTCAGTAAGGAGGTATTCATTCATTGTATTTTAAGAAATTCACCAATTTACTTTTCTGTGATTCCATCAAGGATGTAGTTATTAAAAACAATGCATTTCAACTAGGATTTCAGTAAATGCAATAAGGGATTGTTGGGGGCTATGTAACAACCTTACTACAGACAGCCACAGAAGGTACACATTCTCATAATTACAGTGTAAAATTGGGGTAATTCCCCAGGATATGAATCCTGCAAATATTTACTAAGTACCCACTATTTGCCAGTACTACAATAGGCAGTTATTAATAATGTGCTTGCTTCTAAATTTTGTTATAGAGCAGCTTTATACTGCATTTAATTGAACAAATATTTGAAGAGCACAAAGTTTATAAAAGAGGTTTGAGATGAGGGTTAGAAATGTAAAATTGTATAAATCAGCAATGGTGCAGAAGGGCGTCACAGACACTCGATTCCATAATCGTGAGTCAGTACTAAGGAAGCTTGATCTTTATTTAGTAAGTTAGTTACAACACATCCACATGCCAAAAAAAATCCAGTTCTATCTAAAAGGGGAGCAGAGAAAAATGAGATTGATGTTTTTAGTAATCTCCTTTGTACCAAAATGTAGAGAGGATTATAATTGCAATAAATGCCTTTATACTTTTAATTTGCATTTTACTTAAAAATAACATGTTACTTTAATTGAGAATATATGCAATCACAAGTAACAACGGCTTAAATTTAAAATCTACTGCCTTTGTTTCAATAGCGCAGCACTCACAAAGCTCATGAACTATGAACACGATCACTTTTATTTTCTTATGATAGCCTCACGTTCATTTTAGAGACTTGAAATGAGTGATGCTGGTGTCAGAATCCTCATGAAACCCCACAGCTATGTGACAGTGAAAACAAACCTCATTTATTTTCAGGCTCTTATAGCTACTGACTTACAGGTACTACAAATAGTTTCTTTACTGTTTCTCCAGTTGTCCCATGGCCCGCCTGCACATTTCATGAGATTCAGCTGCATATCACCATCAAAGGAATCACCTGGTTCTATTTCCTTTCAGGGAAACGGCTTATAATATTCCCTCCCTTAGCTTTAAATTTTCACTCTGTTACTTTTGACAAAGCCTTTCCTTTGTTCAAATGGAAGGATCCAATTTTTTTAAAAAACAGCTTTGACATGGTGTGCCTTTTATGTGTGCATTTTTCTGATTTCACTGATGTTCTAAATTTCACAAACGGTAACGTGTGCCTTCAAGTTCCTCTGTAAAATGCCATTTGTACATCATATCAAGAACAGTTTAGGACAGCAGGACATTCACATGACTCTAAAGTCCAATAAATACATGATGGTTTCTCAGAAAACCCACAATTGGGTGAATCGAACGCAAAACAGTGTTTTGTTTTTCATTAAATCTTCCCCGGATACCCATTCACTGGCTTACCTGCAGGGTAGCGCTCGATCACTGGCCAGCTGTCCACCTGTAGCGTGGCATTGCCACCACTCCTCGTGAAACGCACTACGTGGTATTTCCCATCGTTAATGATTGCATTGGACTCTTCGATGGCGATGTCATCTGTCCCAACATTAAATTTAACTCCAAGATTTCCTTGGTGCTGGAAGAGAGGAGGGGGGGTGGGGGAAAGTTATATAAAGTTGCGCTGATCCGTCAGCATTTAGTTAGAATTACATACAGGATATTGATCAAGACATGCTCCAGACAACGGCTGTTTTCCTCCGATTTTACTTCTGAAAAACTCATGTGGAAGAAAGGTTCTTGACATTTGGGTAAATCTGAAGCATCTCTTTCATGGATAATTGATATTCCAAAAGACACTTTCAAAAGAATTGAGCTGCCTCCTTCTCAGAGGTTGCCACAGACAACATGCACAGCTGTCTGTGTGAAAGGACATCCTTTCATGTCCCATCTCACCGTTCCTTTAATCCACTCTTTACATTTCATGAGAAAAATAAGGCTTGACATTCTCCCTTTTAATAACTGGGGAAAACAGAGCTATGAAGTCTGTTTAGAGACAACTGACAAATAATCACAATATAGAAAGTCACTCGGAAAGGTATGGGCATGCAGGCAGGCATTTAAGTGCAGCATTTTAGTCATTATTCACACACACACACACACACACACACACACACACACACACACATATCATCCAATTCTACCAGCCTGAAATGCATTTAATTTATTTTATAGATGATGAAACTATGACACAAGAAGGTGCAATGACTTGCTCAAGGTCACATAACTTAATGGGTGGATGGGTACTGGAATTAGAATTCAGTTCCTTTGTTGTTACTTTCCATTTAAGCTAAGATCTGGCTAGCTATGATTATCAACCCCCCTCTCTGGATTATGCAAAACAGTGTTGCAAATCTAATTCTAAGCACAGGGTTTGTTACTATTAACTTTAGAACCGCATACTACACTGTGGCAAAGAAACATGGGCTTGTGTCCTCTGCTTCTGAGAAACATTCTCTAACAGTAGGACTGTCAACTTTATCATGAGTTCAGTGGGTTTTTAAAGCACTGCAGGCCCTTATTTGTGTACATAACCTCAAATTCTCTGTAGTTCACCTTTCGTCAAACCTCCATTGGGAAGAACTCCATGGGGGCAGAGGAATTTAAAGGGCATGTACTCCATCCATTTCTGCAGAAATTAACCATCAGAATATTGAAAACCTGAATATTTGGACCGCATCCTTTAGATATCTTGCCAGATTCTCGGCATTGAGCTAAACAGCAAGTGTATCAGCTTACATCGAGAATTGTTATACAAAAACGCTGTCAAAATCTGCATTGATTAAAGGGAAGTACAAGAAGGTGTTATTTGGACAGTGCTCATTGCCCCCCTCATGCACACATCCTAACGGTTTCTATTTTTCTTTTTCCTGGTCCTTGTTGTCCATAAAAGGTCTTTTTCTTATAATAGGTTAATATGGTTTCTAATTTTTTTTTTAATTTTTGTTTCAGGCTTGACAGACAAAACGACAAAATTATATTTCTTTTTTTTCATATTTCATTTTTGACTTTGGTTATTAGGAAACTCAGAGTCAAAGTGAGTAGGACAGTTTTTCTAGATGCATAGACTAGAATGGAAAACTGTTGTCCCCTGGACTTATTTTTATTTTCTACCATATTTTTCATAATCCTTACTTCAAAATGTACGCCATTATAAGTTACTCCAGATTGTGTAGAATGATTCAGGTGATAAACACACACAGCAACAACAACACTGGGCTTCCAATAAAACTTTAAATGTATCCAACATTCATCCAGGGGACTCAGGGAAGTCCATGCAGAGATGCAGGCATTCTCTTTTAGGCATTATCTTTATTTAGCAAACACCTTTATAGTGTTCTAAGTTCTAACTGTAATACTAACTCTGGTATTTCTCGTAAGATCCCTGTGAGAAAGGTACTATTTTATCTCCGTTTGACAGACAAGGAAACTAAGCACAATGTGATTAAGTAACCTGGCTAAGGTCACAGAGTTAGAGAGAGAAAAAACTGTGATTCAAATCCAGGCAGTCTGGCTCTAGGATTTATGCTCCTCATCATTATATTAGGCTGAATTTGGGGAATATTGGCTCATCCCAACTTTAGGTAGCAGAGCTGGTAACTCTAGATGTTCCTTGCTACCTGTTTTCTCTTTCCTGCTGGAGTAGGAACACCATAGGACCTTACATTATGCCTTGCAGATTTTACAAATGTATCAACTAATGTGTGCTTAAAATATTTTATAGAGGACAGAAAGCAACTGATATTTAGATGCAATGGGATTTACAATAAAATGTTTTTGTCTCCGTTTTAGTTGAAATCTTAAAATAATCAGTTAAAAACAAATAGATCACTATTTTCTTATTACAAAATGAGGTAAAAAACTGACTAAGCCAAACTTGCAAAGGACATCACTGAAAATAGCTCTTGGCACCCTAAATTTGGGACCTACTATTATTTCCAGCCCATGAAAGAGAAAAGAAAGGCCAAGAGGAGATGGATCATTAGAAGAGGATTTGGGGGGAGAATTGGGATATAACATGTTTTGCAAGTACAGACAAGGTGGGACGTAGAACTTCAGAAAGTTTGGTTCTTGTTCCTGGAATTTGGTGGCAGTGGTTCAGTAAACTGGGATTTGATTCTTGTCTGAGAAACCTTCAAGGGGAAAGACTGTGACTAGGTGATGAAGTGACGGCAGAGCAAAGATATTACTGTGACAGGAATCACTTGTGAATGAGTTTGTTAGAACAAAGAACACGTGAGCATTGCCAGTAGAACATGGGTTAGGAAGCCAGCTCAGAATTGTGTTGTGTCTTGTCCGAGAGAGCCCCCGCGGTGAGGGCTGGTGAGTGGTGAAGACAACGCAATAGAAAGAACCAGGAGAAGCAGTAACGGGTACCTGGGGGTGAGAGGGGAACCCTAAATGACCATCTGAAGGAGGAGCACCCACCCTCCTCAAGGGAACTGCAGGTAAAGAAATTGCAATGATGATGTTAACAGCACAAAAGAACTCACCAAAATGCCCCCAAAACGCTCCTCAGAGGTGATGAAAGCATAAGCTAAGCCCAGCTAGATGGCTACTATTGTATTAGCCAACTGAGATCATTTCTGTCTCTATGTCATCTTTCTTCTGCCTCACCCTTTGGAGGATGAGGAAGGAAGATAAGTGAATGTCGTGAGAATAAGAGGAGAAACAACCCCAGTGCAAGTGGCAGCTTCCAGTAAGCCCATGCCATGCCAAGGGACCGGCCTTAACTGAGGCTGCATTTATTATTACAAAGGAGTGAACTGAAAGTACTTCTTATATCTACAGTGAACAGATGACATTTTACTACCCTAGAGTGACCAAAGTAGTTGCACTTCCTGGGGGTAAGGAAGAAATATTCCATAGAACACGTTTCAATTCCTGTTGTGCCCTAGGAATCACATATTTCAGCACAGAGTTGTAAAACAATAGAGATTCCCATTGTTTTTAGGATCTCCTCTATCACAGGCATGTTTCTTATCTCAGGATAGACTGAAAGAAATTATTAAAGTTTCCCACCCATAACAGTCAATTGTTATCAGAGCTCTATGCTTTAAGGAGATTCATGGTCCGTGAATAGAAGCTAAAAGTTCAAAATGCAGCAAACCAAACATGTCCCTTTACCTCATCCCTAAATTTTCTGCACTACAAAATGTAAAATGCTTATTTTCTAGGGTACAGAAATCCCCAGACTTCACAGAGATGCTTTTCTTGCAACACAGTAAAACAAACTATTAAGAGATAATGAGGTTTGGTAATGCTTGGAAGTCTTCTGACTTTGAAATGATGTTAATCTTCCTCTGAAAATGTTAATTTAGTCCTTCAACTTCCAACATCTTTGATATCTCATGGATCAAACTCCAACATCTGCTAGAACAGAACTGTATACCACTAAAGTAGACTCAAATGATAACACACTCTACCCTAATTCAGATATTATTACCCCACTCAGGTTACATCACATCCTTGAAAAACAATTAATCATAAATGATAGACACGGGATCATTTTTTCCCCTGAAAACAATTACATTAAAATGTATATAAACCACAAAATACTAATATCAATTATATTTAGGACCTACATTTATTTTTCCATTCAGAAATTGTAAATATTCTACAAACACATATCTCCCATGTTGACAGAATAGAAAGCCATTTCAATTATAGAAACAATAAGACTTGCTGAACTTTCTTACCAATGGACAATTACAAGTTAAAAGAATTCATTTCAAATTCTTATTCTCTGGGATTAAATGTGATTGTCTCCGGCAAGTTCTCATGAATATTGCATTAGGAAAACCAGCAGTAATTTCACTGGACATGTACTGATCTTTCAGCATTGTATCTTCCTTGAAATGGATAACTGGCTCACACTATAATTTCAAAAATCTATTATAAGAATATCAGTAACGAGGCATTTATAATTTAATGAAGTCTTTCCGTGGATTCATTAAATAAATAGTGACAAAGTAATTATTAATTTTTTCACAAAAGCTCATTTCTGAATAATGATTATGTTATTAAACCAACTTAAAAGGAAACATTATGAAAGATGACACTGGGAAGGAACTTGAAAGTTCTAGCCAGTAGCACTATAGTTTAATGCACCGTTTAATTTCAGCTGCAATCACATATTCATTTGAAAAATATTTGATTAAGATTTAATGATACTCTGGATATCTTCGGTGTACTTCAAGCAACATGTTTGTATGTTATAGATGCAGATACATTTCCATTGATGTGTATATTAAATAGATAAAACAGAACATACATATTAAGATTTAGCCTGTATATAGCATATAGAAATGTCACTGGCTTTTGTCTGCTATCTGGGATTATTATGCAGAAATATTTGGCTCAACTATGTCTCAGAAAATAGATCAATAAGAATGGTCTCCTATTTTTTGGTTTATTTGCTTATACACTCTGGTAGAGAGCATCAACCAATAGGATGAACAAGTGTGCAACCTTGGACAGCATGTAGATTAGTGGGGAGGCTTGGTTGTAGCCTACAAGCTTCTATTATAGAATCCTATATAATAAAGAGGTAATATGCAAATTGACCATCACACCCTC